AAATGGTGAAGCAATTTGGCGAGAATGGAGAGAAGAGCAGATGTCAACTCAGGATTTGAGGTTGTTTTCAGGCAATTCATGAGGCACCCATTTTCCAAGTTGTTAAAGATGATGATGAACAGTTGTATGGTTTGAACTGAGAACCACTGCCAATTCCTCAACTGATAAAGCAGGATTTTCTTCAAAGGCTGCTTCAAGAAGCTTTTCATCAAACTCAACTGGACGTCTGGTTCGATCTTCATCTTCAAGGGTGAAATCTCCACCTCTGAATTTTGCAAACCATCTTCTGCAAGTTCTTTCATTCACACATTCCTCTCCATAAACTGAGTGAATGTTTCTAGCCGCTTCAGCTGCTGAGTTTCCTTTCTTGAACTCATAAAGCATTATGTGCCTCAAATGATTCTTGGGTACTTCCATGTTAGCAGGGTTTTAATCAAACAAAATTTAATTTTATTGTTCTCTGAAATAAAATTTGATCAGTTTAAATGCATCTAAACATAAAAATAATGCTCAGCTCCATTAGACATTATAAAATACACTTTAAATTTTGTTCATTTTAACAAAAAGTTAAAATTTGGACAGAACTTATGGGATGACCTGATACATACTTATATTTGATATGAAAAAATAATTTTATATAATTTAAATAATTCTATTACATTAACTAGTTTTAAAAAAAAATATAGTCTATTAGTAATTAAGAGTGAAAATATTTTAAAATTGAAGTTAAATGAAATGTATTCTAACCTAAACATCCCCTAAAAAAAATCTTTAAATATACAAATAGGAAAAAATGCCGAAAGACTTTTTGCCGTTAATAATAAAAAAAAACCCCAGACGACATGCATTTAACGGATGTCAGAATTCGTTGAAAAATACACCCCTACCCTTTCTAAACTTAACCTCTTTTTCAAACGTAACTCATAACTCATACAACAATAGTTAATAAAAAGGAGCACGCTACCACCCCTTGTCTGAATGATTGAATTTCTCTGCATGCTTGGAAACAGGAAATTATGAATTTATGTGTGCATTTAAAACTCAGTAAATTTAAAAATAAGTTATTCCAATATTCGCTTGAAGATAAAATGGAAGTAATGCTCTTAATTTAATTACAAATTTAAATTTGAAGTTTTTAGCTTCCATTTTTGAAACGTAGTTATTACTGTGTAGCGAAAAAACCATATTTTAAATCAGTTAATTTATAATATTTATGCTTTGTAAATTTACATTAAGCACTGTTTTGTAAAAATAAAAAAAATACCAAGAAGAACACTGGATTATAAATCCTACTGTTCTTGCTTTGTTTATATATATATATATATATATATATATATATATATATAATATTATTTATTTAAAAATTATAACATGTTATAAAATCACTACAAAAATAGCCATTTTGTTTCAACACCTCTGGTGTCTTATCAAGTGATGATGTTGAATGTAGAATAAAAGGTTATATTTGCTCTACTCTGTATTGCACACTCTTTTAAGAATAGTAATTGTTTGTTATTGGAATTTATTCCATATATACCAATCTTATACTTGGATACATTATATATATATATATATATATATATATAAACTTATTTTAGCTAGTGCATTTCGTACTCTTACGGACTTTATCAAGGTAAATGTGAGGATTTTATTTTGCAAGAAGTAGAAAAATGTAATTTTTTTCAAAATTTTGACTTTTCTGCTGCTCCTTCCAAAACTTGTCAGAACTTGTAGATATTGTTTTTCTTTTTTTTACTTTAATGAAACAAATTTGGTCTTCACTTGTCAAGGGGAGACAACTTTTAGTTACATAACAAAGTTATCTCCCCTCGACAGTTAAGTGGGATCAGCAATTGACTGTTCATATGCCCTGATTTTTTTTATGTGTACTTTTCATTGGTGGTGAAAGATTTTTTTTTTTTTATAGGTACCTCCACAAAAAATACAATATCTAAGGTCTAAGGTGATTTTGTAAAAATGAAAAATCTTTCTTTATGCTTTTATTTTAGTTTTACTCTGAAGCTAATAGATTAAATTTAATATTTCTAATCTTTGTTGTATTTCAAAACTAATTTAAATTGACCGAAAGGGTTTTTGCATTTTTTTATGTTACGATTCTGAGCAGATTTTCTGTAAATGGTGTTTCTGTTTGACAAAAAGAAATTGGCGATTTAAATTCTCCAAGGAGTCTTCCTTTTAACTAATATGAAGAGACTGAAATTTTAATTTCTTGAAATTTTGTACAATTAAGTGGGGGTAACAGATGTTAAAAAGAAAAATTTCTTTTGATTTGATTTTTGCAAGGATATCCAAAACTGTGATTTTTAACTCCTTTAAAAAGATGCTAAATTTCCCATACTAATCTTTGGCCCTCCTGCTGATGGGGGTGGGGACAAGATTTTTAACTAAGATGTGAATATGCTAGAAAGCATTAAAAAATTTAATAAAATGATCCAAAAAATACTTTGTTTTTATCAAGTTTGGGGCCCTTTTCATCATGGTATGCTCTTTTTAAGAAAGTTTTAGCGGGTACACACACATATTTTAGAATGTATTTTTATTAATACAAAAAGCTTTTATCACTTCAAACTTTATGATTGATGGAAAATCCATTTAGAAAAAAATTCTTTTTGTTTATGTTTGGATATGAAACTGTATACAGATATGAAAACCTTTGAGAAATTTTGCTTGAAAGTGTGAAAATGGTTTCACCTGAGTGTCTGTCTCCTCTTTATGATGAAGTAGTAAGGCATACAGAGTTAAGTGAGCATGTTTCATAATGATAATACATCTTTGGCACTCATTTATAGTGTCTATTAATTACTTGTCTATCGTTCATGAACTTGTCTAGGATTATATTTCAAACCACATTTTACCATGACCAAATTCCTCATTTTACAAGCTTCATTTTAATTTTGATTTGTTGTTATCTGCTTTTGAAATTTAAAAATAATTTTTGAATCCCTAATTCTTTACTATCACCTGAAGAAGCACATTTTGAGTTCTGAAACCTGAAAGCTATTGTGTAGCGATTTTTAACTCATTTGTTTTAATCTCATATAATAAATAATATTAAGCTCTACTCTGTATGCAGCCCTTTTTTAAAAATTAAATGCTACTAATAGATGAATTATACTCCATTTGTTCATATTCCATACCTGAATATAAAAGAAATATCATATGGTACACCCCTCCGTTCAACCAAAGGGTTAGTACTAAACTAGGACAGAAATTCTTAGATCTAATTAATAAACACTTCCCCACCAATAGTAAGCTTAGTAATATATTCAATAAGAACACCCTAAAATTGAGCTACAGCTGCTCTGATAATCTTGAACGCATAATAAAAAAACACAATAATAAGATCTTGAACAAACCCCCATGCCAAAACAGTAATAATAAAAACTCTACACTTAAATCAGATGATAATAGGGAAAAATTATGTAACTGTAGAAACCCCGAAGACTGCCCATTAGAAAATAAATGTTGTATTAATTCTGTGGTATACCAATGCACTATTTCATCCACAGAGAGCCCTAGCACTAATATGATATACATTGGGTCCACAAAGAATAATTTTAAAGATAGATGGAGGCAGCATAAGTGCTCCTTTAATAATATAAACAAAAGAAACCAGACTTCACTATCAAAAAATTGCACATTATTAAACTTCTTAATAATAATAATCTATTAAATAATAGACACGAGATAACGGTTTTTTGTAGGCATCATCACATTTTTGGTTTGAAATAAAAAAATTTATATAACTTGTTTAACAAATAACCCAATCATCAGATTCATAGTAGAAATTATTAACTACAAACTTGCATACAACATAACACCCTTCATAATCCATAGCCCAAATTAGTAGTTCAAATACCTTACATATAAGATAACCCTTTATGAAGTCGTCAAAAAACAAACGTTATGAAAGTTTTTCTTTTTATATGCACAATTCCCTTTCATAATAAAAAAAAAATAAAATAAATAAATAAATCTCCATAGACAAGCCAACTTGACGAAAGCTTAATACATCTTCGTTTCATTTTTGACACCCTCACCTTCCCCGACTTGACACCTTGAAAGTATCTCTATACCGCTACTCATCATTAACACCCTACACCCGCCTACCCATTTTAGACAATTAAGCCTAGCTGTTACCATGGTGATTTTGATTTCAATTTTTAAAACAAGTAAATTTCAGATATACGTTATTCCAACAAAACTTGGCTTGAAGATGGAACAGAGCCCTTTAATTTCAACTCAATTTAATTTAAAGGATTATATTGATGTTTTCGGCTCTTGTTTTGAAACATGAGACCTCTTATGTAGCGATTTGGAATCATATTTTTTAAATAAATAATTATATTTATGCTCTACTTTTTGTATCGAGCACTATTTTTTAAAAATAATAACAAAAATACTAAGGAACTTTGGACTATTTACCTAACCAGTTCCTTCCTATTTTCTATATTTTTTCACACATATATATATATATATATATATATATATATATATATAAAATAAAAAGAAAGAACAAAGATATATAATCCGGTGTTCTTATAGATATTTTATTTTGCAAAATAATGCTCAATGTAAATTTACTGAGCATTAATATTATAAATTAATTGATTTAAAATATGTTTTTTTCTGCTACACAGTTCTAACCATGTTTCAAAAATGGAAGCTCAGAATTTAATTTTGTAATTAAATTAAAGACTTAAAATTATAGTTGGTTCTATTTCATCCTCAAGCGAATGAAATAGAGCTAATGTCTTTAATTTAATTACAAAATTAAATTCTGAGCTTTTAGCTTCCATTTTTCAAACAGGGTTAGAACTGTGTCGTGGAAAAAACATATTTTAAATCAATTAATTTATAATATATATATATATATATATATATATATATATAATTTTGTCTCAGAATGTCTTTGTGTAACTATTTATATGTATGGAAGGTATAGAAATATTTAATTTTTATTAATTTGTTTATTTCAGAATCATCTTCGCAGAATCTTAATCGGGATGATGTTGGAAACCAGGCACGATTTTTGCTCAATAAATTTATCTACGAGAGGATGGTCGCTGATGGCTTTGAAACACCTCTTGAAGAATCAAACCTTGTTGAACCAGACACACCCACAGGTAATATATCCCTTGAATCAAGTTAATATTGATAATCTAAAAAAAAAAAAAACAATAATCTGTTTATTAATGTGACCATTAAGAAATGGTCAAGGTTTCATTTGACCAATTTCACTGGCAAAAAAAAAAAAAAAAACAAAAATTTTTGCTAAAAGATTTTTTTTGTTTGGAATTTTTTTTTTTTAATTGCATTTTTCTCTTTACACATATATCATTTACCTGTAACTGTTGAAGTTGAATTTCAAGAATTGAAAATATCAAATTTTTGATTGAGTTTCATCCCCCTCCTCCCCATGTCCAATCTATGTGTTGGTTTTCTCCATTTGCATTATACTTAAGTGTTTAACCTGAAAAAAAATATTTCACTTAGATCAGGGGTCAGCAACCTTTTGGAGAGAGCTGGCTAGAATGCTATGCAGTGTCTCAGCTGAGGGCCATGATGTCAAATATACTATGACAAATTGTCTCGATCCCAGAGATCTCTGTTCAGAAGACTGCCTGGGTCTGGTGGTTTGAAGAAAAAACAAGAAGTCAATTTTATATTATTTAAACAAGGTTCCTTATTTTACTGCAGGAATAACAAGATAACAATTAATGCAAATTCCTTACTACAAACGAAATAGAGTTAAAAATGGCAAATTATTTAATGAAATGCTTTTTTTTTTTTTCTGCTTCTTGTTTAATAAATTCTCCAGGTCAGGTGAAATATTCGTCAATGACAGGAGCAGAACATCATCCCAGGCGGTCATCATTCAATCTTGTTCTTAAACGACTTTTTGTAGATTTCATTTTCAACAAAAACTGTTCACAATCATACTTATGTCCAAATAATGATACCATTATTTTTGCATTATTCAATAGGTGTTTTATATTTTCCGCTAGGCAAAACGTATTTATTTCTCATAGAACTCAGCAGTTGATATGGAATTAAATTTTGATTTGAAAAATTTGTTGCATTATAAGTCGGCTGTGGTTGTTGTGGGGGTGCCAACCTTGTCTTAGATGATGGAAAGGGGCATTGCTGGGGGTGGGGGTTCTACCCATTTATTAACATCCCTTTGTATATTAATTTAGCATTTTTTCCCCAAGCTCACTCAGGATATAGTAATTATAATAGTTGGTGCAAAGTTATTCCTTCTACTTGTTTATGACCTGTGTTAAAAGATTCTATTGCATTGTCTAAAAAAAAATTCTTCCATTGTCATTTTTTATTTTTTCCAAAATTACCAGATTCCATTCCTTGATAAACTTATAAATTTTTTGACTCTTTAAATGATTTTCTAACTCCCATCCCCATTGTATCAATACCTCTCTGTTTATTGCAGGCTGAGAAAAATTCTGATGAAAGTGTGAAAATATAGCTTATAATAAAATTCCTTCCTACAGTTAGCAGTTTAAAATTATGAGAATATAATTAAAAATAATTATGAGAATATAATTATAATATAATGAGAAATAATTATAAGGATATAATTAAAAATAATTATAAGAATATAATTAGAAATAATTATAAGAATATAATTAGAAATAATTATAAGGATATAATTAAAAATAATTATAGAAGGGAAGCTGAAAAATTTTCCCACAAATCTATTTCTGAATTATGCAGTAAAATCAGAGACAATGCAATGGAAAGTCAAAAATACTGACATTTCATTAACTTTTTTTTTTATAATTGTGTTTGTACCAAGCAAAGCAGTAAAGCCACTGGGACACAAGGGCTTATTGGGTGTAGAAGAATTAAAAACAAAAACATTGCAAATGAGTAGGTAACTCCAATGAATTTTTGATACATAAAGATTAAAATGATTTTTTAAAAATGCAAAAGGATTCTTGGAGATTTCATTTTAGCTAAAGCTAAATGATTAAATTTACTATTTCCAGTAAGTAAAGTATTCTGGTATATTTCAAATAGAAATTATATAGATTAGAATCTCAACTTTTTGGTTGATTTTAGAAAATCTTCTTACAGGCAACCATTTTCTTTTCTTAATTTTAAGAAATTTAAAAACAAAACAAAATTATTGGTTTTAAAAATCTTCCAAAAATAGACTATATATTTGTGACACATTATTTAAGTAAAATTAGCAAATTTAAAGTTAAATTAACCTGATTTAAAACAAATATTACTTACAGAATAAAAAAAAAAGTATATAAGCATTTCTTAATGATGGGTCCTGTTTTCTCTTTGTCTTTATTAATATTCTGAGGTATTGACACCTAGTGTGAATGATCAGAATTGACATAATTTTACAAAATCTAAATGAATACTTTTTTTTTTTGTTTTTAACTGTCTAGTAACTTTTACAAATGAATATATTTTCAGCAAATGTCTAATATTTTATTACGTTTCAAGGTGTTTTATGAAACATTGGTTTTGTCTCTAGGTTCTACTTATCTTAAAATTTACTTAACTGAACTATGATCCAAACTAAAATAACTACATAAAATAAAAATATTTAGTGAAATAGTAATAAAAAAAAAAGGAAAACTTACATGAAAATTTTGAAGAGATGATTTGCAAAGATGTTAAATGAAACAGAACCGAATAATGAAAGTGAAAGTATTGCAGAGCGCCAGACAAATCTTAAATCACGTGACCTTTTAAAGGATAATATCATTTATGGCTAAGAATAGTTGGAAATTGACAGCGTTTACATACGAAATTTTTTTTTTTAAATATTGGGTACAAACAACTGTTATGAGCTTTTCAATTTTTGATTCATAAATGTAGTTTTCATTTAATAACAGCATCACTTCACCTTGAAGTAATGCAGAATTTTAAACGATAAATTATTTAATTAAAATTTTAAAAAATGAAAACAGTTCTTGTAAAAATGAATTATTCATCGAAAAAAATTTTCTTAAGATAATAGTGTCCTTAATAAATCTTATTTATAAAAGGAATTAAAAACTTTCTGCTTTTCTAATTAAATAATGCCATGGTTTTATATTGTATTTTTTATTTTACAATTCAGAGCAGATGGGTTGTTTTACAAAAAAAAAAAAATAATTGAGATTTACATTCGCCAAGGAGTCCTGCTTTTACTGATAAAAAAAAATCCCCGCCCTAAAATTTTCAGTTTCTTGAAATTTCATGAAATTAAGTGAATATATTTTTTACCAAAATTTTCTTTTAAAAAATTTCATTCATTTGTGAATGTCCTGAAAGTTTCATTAAAATCGAACAATTATTTGATTTTTACAAGAATTTCCAAATCAATTTTTTTCACCGCAAAAAGACGTTAAAATTTCCTCTACTAATTTACACTGACGTAAGAAAAACAATATTTAACTAAAATTTTGAAGGTACTTAAAAAGGATAAAATAATTTAAAAATCCATTGGTCTTTTCTCCTCTTAACAATAACAAAGATTTTGATAGTAAAAGTTTAGGTCATTTTTTTTTTCATCATTTATGTGCACCTCATGTATTAGCGAATATTTGAAGAAGCGCATAGATAAGTAAGTTTATTCAGCGTATTATACAATTTCATAATATTGATAAAAACGGACATGCTCTCAAACGACGTCTTTTTTTTTTATATATATATATACACGTATCCATCATTGTTAAACGAAGTTTCTGATCATAAGAAGAGGGAGCAGTGGGCCCATTCCATACCAGTTGTTGAATAACCAATACAGCAATATGCACCCAGCAGCATTCATTTATTTTAGTCCCTGTTTTGACAGCTGAAATTCATGACTTTTAAGGTCTGTGTCACATCTAAAAAGTCTTCACTGCAATTGAGTCATCAGACCACATTTACAATTTGCCGATTCTCTACGGTCAATTATACAACATGCACCATCGTGGGTATCGATGAAGTGACACCTTTCATGTCCTGCCATTCAATAATCATCTTTCATACACATCTGAAAGATAAAGAGGATAATGTTAAAAACTGCGTAATAGGTCGTATTCGGTTTTTATAGCTCGGTAATGTCAAATAGCTGTACAATCTCGTATGTGTGTATTTCTGTCTCTTTGTGTGTGTGTGTGTCTTATATCCCCATTGTATTTTGAAATGCTTTACGCAATTGAGAAGGGGAGGAGGCATTTTCTTGGAAAATTTAAAAATGAAAGTGTTAATTCTCAGAAAAAGAAAACCTGCAGTTCAAGCAGTTCATAAAACATTCGTCCTTTGTGTGTTCAACATCTCTTTCCTCTTTTTAACCAGAAGAGGCGACAAGCAAACGAAAAATTTAATTTCTAAAATCTATTCTATTCACTCACTCCATTCCTATGGAAACACAGAAAAAAGTTTTGGAAAAAGAAGACACAACAACGATGTTTTATGTCTGAAACCGATGATCAAAAAAGAAGAGAAATATAAAAAAATAAATGCTTCGATAATTAAGAGAAAAACTAACAACATTTATCCACAATTTTTATTATCACTCAAAAAAATCACAATTTCAGAAAATATTAAAGACATCTGTCATCCTGAATACGGCCAGAAAAGTAAAGTAAAAAAAAAAAAAAAAAAAATAAGTGGTCACAATGAAAACTTCGGAAATATAGACCCTTTCCTCTCCATGAAGCAAGGTAACATCTTCAATTAATCATCGATAAAAAAAATACACCTTTTTAATTTTAACCTAAAAAAGTGAGAAAAAAAATCATTTCGACTATTTTGCCATTCTCTTCATTTTCCATTGATTTAAACTTTAAATTTTCCTTAACTGGAATAACTGTAAGAATCAAACAAGAAAGGAAAACTTTCTTATCAGTTTCTGTTTTCCAAACCGAACGTATAAAAGCACAATGGTGTTAGAATTATCACCTTCGGAAATTCGCTATTCACATGACTCCATGCGTTCGAAGTTTCGAAATGGTAAGCCCATAGAGGAAACCCTTAGAAAGCTTTTATCGGGAAAAATTACAGTCGATGATATACCGCGAATAAGTGTTGCCAAAAAAGATGGAAAATATTACTCTATGGACAATCGAAGGTTATATGTTTTCAAAAAATTTGAAGAGGAGAAAGGTACTAC